GCTGCTCCCGAATAGCACGGAAGTACTCTTGCACGGTCGGCTTGGGTCGATTCACCCTGGATTTAAATCCACGATGAAAACCCTCTATCATAATTGTACCAGTTTCTACCGGACAATGCTGGTCAAAATAGAACTTTACCACAGGAGGTGAAGTGTGTTGAATTAAAACCGATACTCTTCATGTTCAGGCCAGAACAAATTGATTGGGTATAAGGTCACGTGAAATTATGAACCTGACTCTGAGGTCACGTGGCTGTGACGTCACCAGAGCTTGCTCTCCGAACTCGAGCTACTCGATCAGGCCTTATATGGAATAATTTAGTGTATCGCGTGTAATTGGATCCAATTATGGGAGTTGCGCAATTATTGCTGCATATTGATCAGGTATCACCTTTTGAAACCCAGCAGGCAGCTGGGCCAGAGATTTGAATATAGAAGAATTTTTTGTTGATGAATATCGAAGCGAAAATCATGTAACCCTATGTTTTTGAGGACGCCGAACACGATAAAACTGGTTATAATTATCATTACATACTCGAGGGCAAATTGCTTTAAAATGCACTTGAATGTCATAGATGTTATTATAAGCTAAGCGCCTGAGCGGCTTATCGGATGGCACCAGTCTCTCTGCCGAATCTCAGTAATTGTAAACAACGACGCCACTATTTCTCAGCTAATAGTCGGGCTTATGAATGAAAGATCTCAAGTTCAGAAGACGAAAGAAATTTATCCAAATATTTGCTTAAGATTAACGGATTTCAATCAATATCGAAAAGGACTACCAAGGATTGTATCGGGACTTCTATATCGGTATTTCAAGTCTTCATAGCGGTTTGTTGTAGCCTACGCTCCGACTGATGGTGCTGATGACTGAGAAATATCGTTTTTACAACGTTTTATCAGACACGTTTTTTGAACTGCCCCGACATGATCTGAAACTGCTACTGGGTTATAATTTTATGTGATCAATACTTTTTATAGTGCACGATTAATACTTTAAGAGTAGCTGAAAGTTGAATATTCGAAAAAATATATAGGATAGGAATGTGTCGTCGATTATCATTATGCTCACTACTTTCCTGCACTTTACCTAAAAGTAAAATAAATATTATTTCAGAATATTCTAGAAGGTTATGGATTATTCTATGAGTACGGAGTAGCCAAGCCTGCAGCCTAACAATTATAATGAATAATTCGTTTATTGAATTTGCATCTTTATTGCATTGCATATATGTTTATTTTCCACTCTATTGCAAGTTAATTATTATTATTATTTTAACCCTTGCACAAACTATTCATTGAAGATAAGACCGAGTGTGTTTGTCTATTTCTTGCTTCTCTAATCGAATTAGATGATAGCGGTGCTTTGTTCAAATAATGATCCCTGGAGGTCCAGTAAAAGTCTTGGGTCGCAGACTGACATTAAGCATAGAATCGTCTTCGCAAATTCCACCTTTATAGATCATTTGGCTTTAAAAAATATGATCTTACGCGACGTAGTCAGGATTTTCTGCGACTCAGCCTCCTATATTTACATTGTCTTAATTACGTTGTTTTATTTACGTTTTTTTATTCACGTTGACCACGTTTTATTTACGTTGACCACTCTTTCACAGTTTGTGTTGTCATTATATGGTGTTAGTGTTGTCATTATATGGTGCGGGAATCGTTTGTTATACAACTTTTAAGCAGTAAACTATTTTGCGTTCTATATTCTATCATAGTCATACTTTTTAAGTACACATACACTCACATTCCACATTCACAAGCATGTGAGCTCACCTGGTCCAGTGAGCGGAAAACAGAGAACAAGCTCTGATGACGTCATAGTAACGTGACCTAAGGCTCATAATCACGTGACATCAGACCTGATCAGTCTTTCAGTGAAGTTACACCAACTGTTACGCTGACTTAACTGATGGTGGAACCGCATGATATTGGTAGTGGTACTGATAATTAATCTATTAATGACGTGGTTAAACTTGATGGGTTAAAACGTGAAGTTTTAATGGCCCAATAATTGTGAAGGCCAGAAGTTAATTGGAATAATTTCCAATTATCACGACTAATTAACTTAATTATCTAATTTTTAGTTACTCATTAGGCCCATATTCCGAACTAAATAATGTAGCCCAATAAATTTTGAACATCAGTGCAACTGCATAAAAGTTGTGTAATCAAATATTTTGGTTTGTCATCTATAGCCTCTAGAAAGTATTTAACGGGTGATACTCGTAATATATCTGTTCCATATATTGACCGTCGACGAGTCCAACTCGGCGCGCGTCCTGGTAGGTTGTAAACCTACAAGAAAATATGGGTCGTAACACGTAAACGACCCTATCGTCCCTAATGGGTTAATCTTTTTGTGGATACACCCTGTATTTGGAAAAAATTTGTTCATCTTCTCAACTTGAGATCTTTCTTTCATAAGCCCGCTCATTGGCTGTGAAATAGAGGCGTCGTTGTTTACAATTACTGAGATTCGGCAGAGAGACCGGTGCCACCCGATAATAAGCCGCTCAGGCGCTTAGCTTATAATAACATATATGACATTCAATTAGTGCATTTTAAAGCAATTTGCCCTGAAGTATGATAATTATAACCAGTTTTATCGTGTTCAGCGTCCTCAAAAACATAGGGTTACATAATTTTCACTTCGATTTTTATTAACAAATAATCCTTCTATTTTCAATTCTCTGGCCCAGCATGAGAATTTTTAGCATTACATTATTTAAATTGCTAGTCAAGAATTCCACTGTTCCGTTTCCACTAATTCAGGGAGGTCGCTAATTTTTGACAACTTAAACTTATATTTATCGCTGATAGATAAAATTAAAAAGCTTATTTTAAATTTATAAGTCCCTGTGTGCTTGTAGGTTTACAACCTACCAGGACGCGCGCCGAATATGGAACAGATATTTTACGAGTATCACCCGTTAACTCAAACTGTGTGCAAGAGTATTTTTTAAGAAATGTGATATATATTTTGATCGATTATACTACATATCTGGATTCTGGTAGGCATTGATTAAAAATATATTTACAGTAGCCAGAAGTAAAGAAGATGAAGATAATACTATCTATTATAGCTGCAAGTTGTATTGTGGTTTGTACCAAGGCTCTCAGCTGTTATCAATGCCAAGATGTGGCCATGGAGTACGACTCCGATGTCACGAACGAAATGATGAATGACGGAGATGGCGGAACTGATGATCAACCACGATGTGACTCAAACCACATGACTGCTTGTCCTGATGACGGAGGCTCGTATGATATGTGCGCAGCTATAAGCGTTAGCTACGGTTCAAATATATTCGGTGTCTCGATAAAAGCTGAACTGGCCCAAAGATTGTGTTTACACTCAACTTTACCGTTTGTAGACTCCAACAACCAGGCCGCACTGGAGGAAGCTTATTGTAATGCAATCGAAAAGTCCATGACAGGGAGTTCAGAAGCTGCATTTGATTTTACTTCCTGCAAAGTGGATGTCTGCAGTACTGATAACTGCAACACACAAGGAATGGAGAAATTCCAGGACGACGGAGAGGAGGAGTACGACGGGGAAAAAGATAACTACGACTATGAGTCCTCGGGAAGTAAACTGACCATCTCTTTCCTTCTCATCCAGCTGGTCTCTTTCCTTGCAGTCACCGTACTCTAAGTTTAACAAGACTTCGTCAAATTAAGAATGTAAATATTTATGTGACATAAATAATTATAACTATTAGTACGAACTAAGGGTTATATATGTAGAGTTAGAGTATTCTATCCATGTTTTGATAATACTAAGGCCGTCATTCAACATATCCTGCAATTTCAGTTTTTAGGTCTGTGAAAAAATAAGTACAACACGTTTACTATCATGGTGGTCGATTATGTAGATTTTTTGGCATTTTATGAGTGCCCAAGGTTAAATATTTTTCCTTTTTCTCACAACTCGGCTTTGTTATGATTATATCAAATTTTGGAATGGAAAGTTATACTGGTTATGGATTGTACTGATATAAAGATTTACTATAATAATTGTAAAACTTGTGACAGTTGTACGTCAAACTTGTAAGATCTGTATTTCTTCAAAGCTTGTAAAACTTTAATGCTACATATAAATACCAGAATTTTGGCCAAACTAATTCGATTAACAATAAAATTAAGTTTTTGAAGACGAATTTTCCTGGGCCAAAATTTCACAGTTTTGACAGAATTCTTCTCCAGAAACCAATTAGTCGGTCAACTATAGATAGCCGACTAAACTACTTACAACACTACAAATCAATTGCATTTATTGAGGACGTTACAGAAGGTAATAATTTAATGTAGTTTGAGGAATCCTAACTCTCCCCACGTCCGAAAATGGCGTTTCTCTTGTATCAAATATGACACAATTGAGGAAGTCAAAATACCCGACAGAATGAAAAAATCATATTCTCCCAAACCTTGTCCCATTTTCAGCTTTTGAAGACGCATTTTCCCGGGCCGAAATTTCACAGTTTTTACCGAATTCTTCTCCAGAAACCAATTAGTCGGTGAACTATAGATGGCATGTGAGACAATTGAGGTGCTCGAAGTTTCATTCCGGTCGAAAAAATCACTACAGTAGTACAGAAAGCTTTACAGAACGAAAATAGCGGGGTCGCCTTCGTTACGCCAACGAATCTAAGCTGAACTAGGTAGTTAGGTAGTTAGTTAAGTAGGTTAATTCGTTACGTTTGTGGTTGGTCGAGTCGATCGATCTAGTCGCTTGCTTGCCTATTTTGGCGCTGCGCAATAAGGCTATTGCAATGCGCGCTCCGCTTATGACTGAACGATTATGTGACCAAATTCAAATGTGGCCGTTACAACAGCTCTGGTATAGTAATGAAATATTATCACCAGATGCGACCCTTATCAGTATATTTACAGAGACTAGTTTGACGTTTTATCAGTAACCTGAAGTTACCTGACACCGTTCGGAGTTTGTTTGATTTTTAAAAATCGACTTTACAAAGGAATAGAAAGTCTTCTTAAAAGTTTCCAATTCAGCAACACATGGCAAAGCAATCAACATACAGTATCACGAGTGAATCAATAAATATTAGTTTCCCAGAAAAAATGATCGAATGAGTAATAAATCAAATATGAACCAGAAACGACGTAAAGTTGCGTAGTTTTAAATTCTTTATTAGTGATACAAACAAATCTGTGATGACTCTTAGAACTCGTTTCTATAACAAAACATGAGAAAGCCGTCCCGATTCAATATATATATATCTCAATATATCTCAATATATCTCCCCAATAAATAATTTATTATACCAAGCCTAATAGGATCAGATATTTCCATTCATTTCAGTAAGAATACACATCAAACACTATACATTTTACTCCTTCGCATCAAAACTGTTGAAAGTGACGAATGTATAATATGTTCACATACTGTATACAATCAAATAAGTTCGCACAATAAAGCAAGATTAACATAAACAGAGCACCAAAAGTTGAACCAGCCAATTAATTATATCGTGTAAAGCTAATTAATTCCTACTAAGCAGCTTGATATCTAAAAGGATCAGGACCCCCAACGCAGGCCAGTACGCTTGCTTCAGGAATATGCTTGTTAACCTCCTTGTTCTTGAGGAATAGGACTCGTTTTTTGGCCCCCTCAGAAAGCATAACACTAACTAGCTTCCACACACCGTTCAGCAACCAGTGCATATTGTGGATTATCATTTTCTGGGAAGGAGGAATAATTTGTGAGTTATCTCATACATAATATTATTAAACATATATTATTATTAACATTATCAAACACTAATCAACATTATTATTCCAATTTGGCACGTGGGCGTATATAACGTTTAAATCTTATTATCTCTAAATTATTTTAAAATGAGGAAACCCGTTAAAAACAGCAATGAGAAACGCCCTATTAAAGTTAGAAATCACTCTAGAACTGGTTAAAAGATTACCTTCATTACGTCAGCTGTGTAGTACATGAATATGTTGATAAAGTACTTTATAAACTCAACATCAACCTCAGTCAACCCAACGTCGCCTAGTGCTAGCACGATCTGCAGGATAATACATGTACAGTGTACATTATAGGCATAATGATTAGTGTACTACATATGAATAGTTATTAGTTGTGTGTATTATATAATGATAATGAAATACAGAGCTACAAATAACTCTAGGACTGAGGAAGATTTCCAAGAGAAATCCTCCAAAACTACCATTAGAATAGTGGAAATCTTCCACAACTAGCATTAGATTAGTGGAAATCCTCCAAAACTAGCATTAGGTTAGTTGAAATCCTCCACAACTAGCATTAGATTAGTGGAAATCCTCCACAACTAACATTAGATTAGTTGAAATCCTCCACAACTAGCATTAGATTTGTGGAAATCCTCCAACAATAGCATTAGTTTAGATTAGTGGAAATTCTCCAAAACTAGCATTAGATTTGTGGAAATCCTCCACAACTAGCATTAGATTAGTGGAAATCCTCCAACAATAGCATTAGTTTAGATTAGTGGAAATTCTCCAAAACTAGCATTAGATTTGTGGAAATCCTCCACAACTAACATTAGGTTAGTTGAAATCCTCCACAACTAGCATTAGATTTGTGGAAATCCTCCACAACTAGCATTAGATTTGTGGAAATCCTCCAAAACTAACATTAGATTTGTGGAAATCCTCCAAAACTAGCATTAGATTTGTGGAAATCCTCCAAAACTAACATTAGATTTGTGGAAATCCTCCACAACTAGCATTAGATTAGTGGAAATCCTCCAAAACTAGCATTAGATTAGTGGAAATCCTCCACAACTAACATTAGATTTGTGGAAATCCTCCAAAACTAGCATTACATTTGTGGAAAGCAATACCGCTAATAAGGTCTAATTGTGGGCCCTATTATTTCGTTGCTTACGTTGAAACTTGAAAGATTGCGAAATACTACTTGATTTTAACATTGAAACATACAGAATAATTACATCTTATCTGTATCAAAGTTGTATAGCATGGCTTTATCTAGACAATGGTGTCTAGACAATATCATCTGATATATTTAAACAATCCAGACAAGACGCACACAATATAATCCATAATGATAATTAGAAACCCTATTATAAATGTAAGAGTATGAAATACAGCATTAGTTGAACTCACAGTGATCTGTGAACTGTCCGCCTCCCCCGGTCTATTCTCTACCAGCCACATCAGGTACTTCTCAAACTCAGCCCTCTTTGTCTTGTCAAAGTACTTGGGCTCTACCCACAGAACATCAGCACCTGCGGATAGACGGGGGTTTAACGGGGGTTTAACGGGGGTTTAACGGGGGTTTAACGGGGGTTTAACGGGGATTTAACGGGGATTTAACGGGGTTTAACGGGGATTTAACGGGGGTTTAACGGGGTTTAACGGGGGTTTAACGGGGGTTTAACGGGGGTTTAACGGGGGTTTAACGGGGGTTTAACGGGGTTTAACGGGGGTTTAACGGGGGTTTAACGGGGATTTAACGGGGATTTAACGGGGGTTTAACGGGGATTTAACGGGGATTTAACGGGGGTTTAACGGGGGTTTAACGGGGATTTAACGGGGGTTTAACGGGGATTTAACGGGGGTTTAACGGGGGTTTAACGGGGGTTTAACGGGGGTTTAACGGGGGTTTAACGGGGATTTAACGGGGATTTAACGGGGGTTTAACGGGGGTTTAACGGGGATTTAACGGGGGTTTAACGGGGATTTAACGGGGGTTTAACGGGGGTTTAACGGGGGTTTAACGGGGGTTTAACGGGGATTTAACGGGGGTTTAACGGGGATTTAACGGGGGTTTAACGGGGTTTAACGGGGGTTTAACGGGGGTTTAACGGGGGTTTAACGGGGGTTTAACGGGGTTTAACGGGGGTTTAACGGGGATTTAACGGGGATTTAACGGGGATTTAACGGGGGTTTAACGGGGGTTTAACGGGGGTTTAACGGGGGTTTAACGGGGATTTAACGGGGGTTTAACGGGGGTTTAACGGGGATTTAACGGGGGTTTAACGGGGATTTAACGGGGGTTTAACGGGGGTTTAACGGGGGTTTAACGGGGGTTTAACGGGGGTTTAACGGGGATTTAACGGGGATTTAACGGGGGTTTAACGGGGGTTTAACGGGGATTTAACGGGGGTTTAACGGGGATTTAACGGGGGTTTAACGGGGGTTTAACGGGGGTTTAACGGGGGTTTAACGGGGATTTAACGGGGGTTTAACGGGGGTTTAACGGGGATTTAACGGGGGTTTAACGGGGATTTAACGGGGGTTTAACGGGGGTTTAACGGGGGTTTAACGGGGATTTAACGGGGGTTTAACTATCCTCAAGGGGCAACAATACGTTTTACTGTTTTACTCAACTCAAAATTCTACTTTCTTCCTTCACTAACTTCACATTAATTTACATTTAATTTCATACATATATTATATATATAATATATACTAAAGTTCTAAGCAAAAGATAGCTAAAAATTTAACAACGCTGCTGCCTAATCTTTCTTACAAACTGAAAGTAAACCATCAATGAATCTTTGTTGCGACACGGAAAAGGCCCCTTATCAGGATAATGGAATTTTTAAATCTTGATAAGAGCCTTTTCGTTGTCGCAACAAACGGGAACACTACAAATTTTGCCCCAGGATCATTAAAACAGTGTGACTTATAAATAATGTTCCGGATATTACCCTTGTCATCACAACAAGGTCACTGGTCAGAGACGTTTTACTCAACTTCAAGGTTCTTCCTTTCACTCACTTCACATTACATTGACGAATTTATTTTCATACTAGACAAAATTAAAAAGGCGGGCTGAAACAAATTAACAGTTTCAGTTTCAGTTTCAGTTTTAGTTTCAGTTTCAGTTTCAGTTTCAGTTACAGTTTCAGTTTCACCAACTTACCATCAAGATCTTGTCCCCTGAAGTACATGGAGGTTAGCACATGGTCCGGGTCCTTGGAGAAGTCAAGATCTCTCACAGAGTTCACCTTCCTCCACGTAAATACACTCTCGATCATCTTGGCGGTCTCATCTTTGTCCTGAGAAAGGAATTTAATTTTATATTTCAGGAATTTAGTGTATTTAGTAAGTTGATTTGAGATTTTAGGTCAAATATAGTCAAATAATTACCAGCCGACAAAATGTAACTTTTATACTAAACAAGGATTGATTTAACAACAAATAATATTAATTTGAAGTTTAATAACACCACTATTAAGATAAAAAGTATACTCAGCAGTGTTTAATCTAAACATCCTAGAAATTTACTCGAATAAAAGGTGAGAACTGGAAACATAAGCTTGAAAATAATATATCGTTAATACTAATGCAAGAATATGATACTTATAACTAAAGATCTAATACCAAATATGACCAAAATAGATAACCGATAAAGTTTTTTAAGTTCACGTAGGGACATTTTAAATAGGAAAGTTTTTAGATAAAACTTCAATATAAATAGCAAATTTTACATGACACTCATAATTCATCCAAGTAATTGGTTGATAAATTTGTAACATCACAACATTTAAGATAGTTTCGATAAACATTTATTATATGAACATTTTAATGAAAATTAAATGACAGTTTTTATGAACAATGATCATTTATTACACGTACATTTAATGAATTTTAGAACAGTTTTGTTACTGCATCTCTTGATCAAAAGAAGATCGTGTCTCGATAAAATCAAAGTTTAAAAATCAAGGGTTGACAAATAATGGTGGCATTGGCAACGAAATGAACAATGAACTTACATTCGGTTTGCCAGGTTTGCCCTATTTGATGAGATAACATTATGTAATATCAAGAAAAGATTTGATATCAGGAAATTTTATAATAAAAGTGCGTGCAGTAAATAACTGCAATATCTTACCGTCATTTTAAAAGTTTTATAGTATTTCTTACCGTACAATTATTAATCACACCCGTATGCCGGGAGTTACCAATTGTTCCTACATATAAAAGGATATGGCTAAGAAGAATGAAAGCATATTACAAAAGGTTTAAATTTAAAAAAAAACTTTCCCAGAAGTTTTCTAACTTTTTGTTCTAACTCTTAACAACCCAAAGTTTATTATATAGCAAGGTTGTTCTGTCCTGAGACAATGAAATTACACTGGGTCTATCCTGTCCGTCTTAGATTATTTCATTGTTCCACCTGCTGGTTACAGCACTGCTGCACTGGTTTAGTGCGCTTCAGATTAATTGTAGGCAATGTAAGATTATAATATTATGCTAGCTTATCATCGTGACGTCATAACACCACGTGACGTCATAAAATCACGTGACGTCATAACACCACGTAACATAACCGTACTACTTACATCTCGTTGATGCGCCAGGAAGCGTGATACTAGTTTATCATCTGTCTTGATGCGCTCCAAATCCGCCTCGTAGTATTTTGAGGCGTCTGTTGCCAGGGCGGTAAACTTGTTTCTGATCTCGTCGGCTACATCCTTGGCGATGGGTGCTGCTGCCATGGTTATCTAATGCTATATAAAACAGTATCTGAGTTAATTTAATCAAGGATATATAATCAATAAATCAAACAATCAAATACGATTCATATCAGCATTCTAGTTTTGCACCATCAAGATTTAGATCCATTAGATCCATGGACGGTCTTATTAAGTGCATAAAAATACCGCACAGAGATGAGAGAGGTAAATATAATTGCACAGGAGAGCCGGTCGGAACACACACAAATATCAATGTGTAAAACTACAAGTTGCTCCACTAACCCTGTAACCCTGTGTTACTGGTGAACTAGCAAAGGCACTTAAATTTGGTGGCTCCAGCCAACATTTAAACACCCAATCAGAGTTGTACACGCTCTTGGAGATATATATTCGAAATGTCTAGTCACTTTTACTAATTAGAGTGATATTAGTTGTGGTTATGAATCTATTATATAACCTAATAATAGTTAAGTAGTCACTGACAATATCACTATAAGCTACAGAGCAAATTAATCTATTCACTACTACTAGAGTGCTATGGAAATTGTTGAGCTGTAAGATCAATTCGACACAAAAAAGGACTGCAAGTTACATTAAATAGCGATTAGAGCACTAAACCCTTGCAAATGAGCATTGAGCAGCTGGTAAAACTGTAAAATTGTTATAAGGCAGTGTCACGCTCGTGCCATCTCAAATTTCTGTAACGACCTCCTGAGCATATCACACCTTATTCATGGCATACACTGTCTTATATTCTGTGATTACATTATAAAAAAACAGCTCATGCAGTTCATAATACCTCTCAAAGTTCAGTTTCTAAAGATAAGATGAGATAACTTCATGATTTGACGTACAATTTCAGTGCTGCAACTTAAAATATTGTATTTTGCGGGACTAACATTTAGAAATAGAGTACCGTACGTGGGGCGTGGGCAGGGTATGAACCATTTCTTTGACAATTTTTAACAATTCTTTAACAAGAAATGGTTCGTACGTAAAAAGGGCGTGGGAAAGAGCCATTTCTTTAACAACAACCAGAATACAATCTTTAACAATAACCACTAACCAGAATACACATGGTAAAAGAAAGATTTTAACTCTTTTATGAAATTTCGTCAGCATCAGGAAAATCAACCATTGCAAGAGAATAAAAATAAATCTTGCCATCGGTTACTCTAGCAATTTTAATGCTAGTCCTTCCAACGATCCGAATAATTTCCAGAATATTCTTCAAGGAGGGAAAAGTTCTACAACTCTTTAGAATCACAACGTGAAAGTCTGTTTGCGCTGATAAAGGTTTACGTACCTTCAGTACTCTGATATTATCAGCCGGTGACGTCATATCATTTGATGACGTCACGTGAAGTTTTGATAACCTCTCTTTCTCTGATATGAATTATTTGATGGGATATTTGGATCTGCTCTCTTGACAATATATCCCAGCCGAACAAGATGACAGTAAGCCTGGTAGAACTCAAGGGAAATCCAAGGTATCATGATATCATACAAATCTTGCATACACATCGGAACCTTACTCTCCTCACTCAGAAATACTTCCAGAACTCCATACTCAAACTGAATCAAAGCCTCCTCCGGCTGAAAACGAAACCCCAAACAAGACTGCACTCCCATGTTGTTGAACGCGTTGCCCTTAGCTTTCCTGCCCTTACAGAACACCGCCTTATCCTCAAGATTCAGCACCCCTTTAAAGATATGCTTCTCCCTGTTAGTGGTCAACTCTTTTATAACTGTGCCGTACAGACCTCGTGCCATCTGTACTGTCCGTTCAGAGTGTTCGTCAGGAATGAAGTATTTGTATGCCGTGTACCGGGGTAGCTCGTTTACTTTCTGTGATAGTTTCAGGACTTCAGGTGTTGGGGGTGATGCAGGTGGGATATCTTCTTCTTCAAACATATTGTGCGGTTATTACTTCCCTACTTGGAGAAGTTGCAGTTATAAAATAATGTCTCTATTATAATCATGAAAACAACCGGCCCACGATCTGATAGCATATCAACATTCAACAATATCTAGGAATTGTGTGGAAAATTACATAATTTGCAGAGGACAATTAGAAGTGATTATGAGATAATATTCGTAGACGGTTTGGCAAAAGATTAATGGTGGAATGGGAGAGACCAGGTACATTGATATGCCAAAAAGATTGAGAACCTAGAAACTCGAGAGGATGAGAGGTTAATTATAAGGAATTTAAGAGGAGGCTAGAAACTGGGGAAGGGAAGACCAGAAATTAAAAACTTTCAGAAATTGATAAGCCAGAATAACAGAGGCGAGGAGAGTGAGATGATGGTACTAAGGGTGTGAAGAGAGGAGAATGAATTAACTAAACCATTTCAACATAACTTCGTTTGAAACGATTTTGTCATAAAATGATATCACGAACCCGAAGTGTTACTACCAATTATAGTCAAGAAGCCATTAAAGCAATATAATTTAAAGTAATATGATTTTAAGTTAAATTATTCACGCGTGAGTGGGTTTTATTGGTTATCCTGATAAGGAGTGGCTATAACGCAGAATAATTATAATCAAGCGTCGTAATATAATATTACTAATTATATGATATTACGAGAGATTAGACATTATGAACAAGAACTGTGACTACCGTACTTGCAAAACGTTTTAACGGCCTTCTCAAACCCCGTATTCTGATGACTAATATGGAGTATGGACCGCTAGCATCATAGATCATTTTATCATATTGTAATACTAATGAACCTTTCGTTTTCTAATATCTCTGATTTGATTAAACCTGAGGAGCTGGTATTATATAAATAAACTTTTCATTACACCTATTAAAAACACATCTACAATAATATGATTTAAGTGATCATTCATATAATATTACTTAAGCCTTGGAGGGAGGGGCTTTAAAAAGCGCTATTGTGTAACTATTTGTGTTATAGATGAAGTTGGGGTTCATAATGGCCAAAATCTGGTTTCCATAAATGTGAACACTGAACGATCCCTACAAATCATCATAAATATTTGGGAGTAGAAACAAAAAATTAAAAATTATAAAACTAAGAAAAAGTTCAAACATAAAACATTTAATTCATTATAGAATACAGATGGCTTGACAGAACTGAGAAATATTGACTCGAACCGTATTTTATGGAGAAATTTATTTTCATTATGTATTTAGAAGTTTTATGTTTTTGTATTAAATGATATGTTTAAACACGTTTTATGTTTTTGTTTTTAAAGTTTAAAGTTTATTGCCATTCAATATGTTCTTACCGATCTTCTTTGTAGACTAACCGGATCTTTAAAAGTTTAAAGGACGTTTATTGTTAACTACTTCAGATTTGTGTAAAGTTTGATAATAAATAATTATAGAATATTACACATAAAATTCAAAACACGCCAATAATTCTGGCACCCTGCTAATAACATAGTTTCTATAATCATGTATGACTTAAATAATTAAAAAGAGTATTATTGTGATATCAGTCGTTTGCCTGTATTGAACACAGGTCACGGTATTTAAGCTAATCGGGAATTGAGTAATGTAATCAACGAGGCATAACAAACTATGCGAATATTTTACAATAATGACTCTGGTCAGGTTGCATTATATGTTGAAATATTTGTTCGGTAATCATACAAATGCACGTTTTAACAAGTTACGTAATAGCATAATTAACGATTTAAGTCTAATCGATTGCAAAGTAAATGGATTACATTTACATAGTTACATACTACTGCTGAAATGGAGATTGAGCATTCGCACATGTTCTGTTCCATTTCAAAAAAACTAATTACAACACTACAAATCTATTACATTTATTGAATATTATGTAACGCGGCGCGATGGAAATATTTTAAGCGGGTAATATCCTGTCCAAACCCAGGATACATAACAAGAAGACTTTGTTGTAAATTTGTACGAAAAGCATTTAAAATAACAAACTAATAATAGACATATTATAAGCCAAATCGATATAGCGAGACTATCAAAAACGTAAACTTATTTTATAGTCAAACTTTTTATCACACTACACTCGTTATTGTGACGAATTACACTGTTAATGACTTAAACCACATGAAACGTGTCGACCGAATGTGATCATTTTGTTTGTAACCGCAAAGCTCTTAAAGTTGATAGAGTAAGTGGTGTGTCGTATGCTGTACAACAATTAGTGTGCTTGGCTTGTATAGATACATTTCGCATACTTCGCATACCTGTGAATCTAGTTCAGATCTTAGTGAGAGAGGAAAATAACTGTAGTGATAATAAAACAAAAAGTTGGTATAAACTGATTTCTAGATTTTAAGTTTCTTTTCAATAAATACATGTACTGTACCTGGTGATTTATAAATGGGCAATTCCACGTAGTGTAATTCACACTTTGCACAACATTTAGCTTTTAATTGCATGCTAATTGTAGGCTAACATTAGCAGCATGATAATATAAAGTCAGAATGAAGTTTAAACGTTTGTTATAATGTGGCAACAAAAGTTTAATGTCTATCTCTTATACTTTTTATGTGAGCAGCATTTTAAAAAGTAGGCGTTATTCACAGGCATAATTTGGTGTTTTAGAAATCTTGCCTCAAAATTGCAATTCGTGCCCCAGTGTAATAGCAGAAGTTACAATAAGGCTTGATCACAATAAAGTACACATTTTTTCAACTTCCTATGTCCTTCCTAACATAAATTTGTGGAATGTGTGTAGTACAGGGACAATATAGGAAGTAAACGTTATTCACATTTGGACGTAGTGTAACTCACACTCTGCCCAGTTGCTCTGTTTGTGCGTTGTATTGATGTTTGCTTGTTCTTAATTTGGTTGCTGCTACTGTAAAATGGTGAAGTAGACTGACTATTACTGATTTTAAATTAAATTGACTACTAATTGGTCCAATTAGATACTGGTAATGGTGTAGATTACACCCTACTGCCATACCACAGTGGTCCGGGCGCCCATGCGAGGTAGACATAAGACATGATAGGCATGACTAAGGGGTATGATATACCACAAAACATGTATTCTAGGGGTATCTTGCCCCAAAATAACGTTTAAAAAGGTTTTAAGAGTGATTAAATGGATATTTGACCTCAAATATTAATTTTACCTCATTTTTTGTCAAAAATTGCATTTTTTGGCAATTTTTTGCCATTTTTTAGGACAAACTACAAAAATAAGTTGCAAATTAACTTAGGTAAGCATCTATAAGTTGATCTATCTGTAAGTATAGGACATTTAGAGTAATCCTAGAAAAATGTACAGTGTAATATTGTGGCATGATTTTTTTATGAGCTCTCAAAGGTTCATGATTAGACAGAAATTGGGTGAAATTTAGAACTTTTTTAATCCATTTTTAGACCATTTTATCACTAATATCAATTCTAAACTACTTCTTTGTGTTTTTAATGTGAAGAGGTCATCAAGAGCTTTAATTTGATACCTCTATACATGGTTTTTGATAAAAATTAGAATTTTTTGGGGCAAAAACACTGCTCTTTTGAGCAAAATTTAGTTACGTGACAAGAAAATAAGGTAATTTTAGCCCCAAATTGCTGATATTTTCTGAAAATACATACATGCTACATGAAGAGGTCTCCTCCTAGTCGTTGGAGTGGCCTGCATCACACACATCTCTTCTACGGCGTAGCATGTTCCTCCATTCCACTCGCTTTAGAGCCAACTGTTTTACTGCATCTCTGCTGATGTTATCGACACCTGTAAATTCAGCCGCATCCTCGAGTACACAGGCCATCCAGCCTTTGCGGGGTCGTCCTCTCAGTCTCTTTCCATAGTTTGGTTTCCAATCCAGTAAGAAATTGGGAAACCGCGTCTCTGGCATTCTGACAACATGTCCGTACCACCTTAGTCTAGCCGCACCGATGAAAGTTTCGATAGACTTAATTCCAGCACGCCTGAGAACTTCTTCATTGGAGACATGGAAGAACCACTTTATCTTCAAGATTCTTCTCAGGGAGGTCAGATGGAAGACCTCAAACCGTTTCATCTGCTTCTTTGTTGTGTTCCACACTTCGGCTCCATATAACAGAATAGTAATAACAGCAGCCTTGTAGATACGGATCTTGGTGGGCGTTCTTATAGTTCGACTGTTCCATATCTTCCAAAGCTGATGGAATGCACCATTAGCACGCTGGATCCTGATGTCAAGATCTCGGTCAATGGTACCATCCCCACTGATGTTGGCACCAAGATAAACAAAGTTGCTGACCTGTTCAACAGGTTCTCCCTCCACTGTTAGCTTTATACTGTCTCTTTCGGTGTAAGGTCGCTGGGACGCACACTTGCTGATCGCCATGCATTGTGTCTTTTTAGCGTTGATCTTCAACCCAGCATAAGAGGTGTAATAAGCTATAAGATCAGTGGACTCTTGCAGCCCTTCTTCAGTATTGTCCATCACTGCCAGATCATCAGCGTAGTCACTGTCCATGATAACTTTTTCATCTGCACCCTTTAGTTCCTTTTGCAGTACAGCACCATGACTGATTGCCTTGTGAACCTCGGCCAAAAAGATTCCAAAGTTCAGACAAAAATTAAATACAGGGGGGCCCTGGATATCACCCTGTCCAGTGCCCGAATTAACAGAGAACCAATCAGACATTTCACCATTAACCCTGACAGCACTCATGGTTCCGTTGAAGAATGCCTGAAAGATTCTAACATATTTCTCAGGAAGTCCATAGTGTCTCATGCTTGACCAAATAAACTCTCTTCTGATGGAATCAAACGCTGCCTTAAAATCAATGAAATTAACATAAAGTGGAATGTTAAACTCAATGCAGTTGTGAATAATGGTGCGGATGGAATAAATCTGATCAATACATGAGCGGTTCCGTCTGAACCCACACTGATTTTCCCTAAGAAGACACTCCATTCCAACATCCAGCCTCTTAAGAAGAACCATTTGAAGAACCTTAGAAGACGTTGCCCTAAGAGTTATACCCCTATTATTGCAGCAGTATGAGGTGTCTCCCTTCTTTCCGATAACCACTATAACACCTTTAAGCCAATCCTCAGGGATCACCTCTTCCTCCCATACCTTTTTAAACAGTAGCTCTAGTTGGCCAACAAGAGCACTTCCACCATACTTAAGTTGTTCATTAGTTATCTCATCAACCCCTGCACTTTTGCAGTTCTTCAGTTTCTTTAGAGCATAACTAATCTCATCTCTAGAAGGAGGTCCATCAGAACAAGAAAGGTAGTCAAAACTCGGTTGTGAGGGCACACCATCGAGGTCATCAAGATTGGCATCCGATAGTGGAGGATTTAAGAGCTCAGTAAAGTGCTCCTTCCACCTTTCCTTCTGACTGTCCGGGTCTGTAATAAAATGACCATCCTTATCCCTAACTGACATACCCACTTTCTTCTTCTTTTTCCCAGAAATCTTCTTTATCTTATCCCAAACTTCCCTTTGCTGGCCTTTCTTAGAAGCCTCCTCTAGATCAGTCGCTATTTTAGTAGCCCAGTTGTTGTCGTCAATTTTACAACTTTTCTTAACTAATTTATTAAGTTTAGAGTAGGCTGATCTATTGACGTTTGAAGTGGGATCCCTCCGTTTGAACATTCCCCGTTGCTCTATCAAGTTCTTAGAGGTTTGCGAAAGGTGTTGTTCTTTAACCTTCCGGGGACGCTTTCCAAGCACTTCCATCGAGACATCAGTGACTGTCTGCTTGAAATTATCCCACATGTCCTCAAGGTTGACCTCATTAGCCAGACAATCAAAACGGTTCTGAAGAGCCACATTGTACTCTTGAACCTTAGACGAGTTTCGCAAATGTTCGATAGCAGGCACATCGTGCCTTTTAGCAGTGATCTTAGCTACCGACTGCAGTTTGATTTGCAGCCGTCCACGAACAAGATAGTGATCTGAACCAATGTCAGCCCCACGACATACCTTAACATCGAGTAGCGAGTGTTGGAATCGTCCACTAATACAAATATGATCTATTTGATTCACAGTTAACCCGTTAGGAGACCGCCATGTACCCTTGTGGATGTCTCTATGCTGGAACAGAGTTCCACCAATAACAAGTTGATTGGCTGCACAGAAATCCATGAGCCTGGTCCCATTGTCGCTTGATGAACTATGGAGAGATTGTCCACCAATAACTCCCTCGAATCCATATCTGTTTGAAGTAACTTTTCCATTGAAGTCACCCAGTAGCAGTTTCAGATCATGTCGGGGCAGTTCACCAAACGTGTCTGATAAAACGTTGTAAAAACGATCTTTCTCTCCGTCATCAGCACCGTCAGTCGGAGCGTAGGCTACAACAACAGATATGTTGAGGTGTTTGCCGTGTAACCTAGCTGTTAAGACCCGCTCTGATGTAGGTACATAAGAGATCAGGGAGTTCCTGACCTTTTTGGAAAGACATAGGCCAACCCCTTGCCTTTTGATACCATCTCCCCTACCAGAATGAATAAGTAGACTACCATTGTCCAAAAGTGTACTTCCAGATCCTGGCATATGAGTTTCAGTAATACCCAAAATATCAAGACTGTAGTGATCAATGTTCTGACTGAGTTGATAAAGCTGTGAAGATGAGCTGACTAAAGATAAAACATTCCAGGTTCCAAAGTACATTGAGTGTTTGCTGTAGTTGATAGGATTGGACTTGCTGAAGTCAGTGTCAACATGAGCGATCTGTTGACTAATTACTCTGTTGTTATGACGAGCAACCACTCTTCTCATCAGGCCACTGGGGTCCCTGAGGCTTTGCCCAGTTGCCGTCATCCTGGTCTCACCCGACCTTGCAGAGGTAGAAGCACACCGTCCTTGATTTGTGTGTAATGTTTCAGTAGCAAACTTTTAGAGAGGAGAAGTTGCCAGCATCTCGCACCCGGTTTTTTATCGACCTTTGCCTGTCTAGATCCATAGTGTTTTGTTGCACGTCATCTGTTTATACTGGAGTCACCCAGGACAGATTACAATGCTTAATAGTAGCACCTCGAAAAGGATGTGATTCTTCATCACGCACTATGGTCATTGGAATAGGAGAGGTTATTGGCTTCACTGCCTTCACGATCACTATTCCCTGAGATTATAAATAATCTCTTGCCACCTTGAAAATAAGCCTTTAAATTACTCAAATAAGTGTTCTTAGACCTAACAATGACTATAAAACACTTTCAAATCAATTTTGATGTCCTTATCCATTTAAAAATCATTATTTTTACGATTTATGGTCTAAAAGTGGCACATTTTGCCCTGGCGGAACCCTAATTTTGATTAAATTACCAACACTTTCAGGCAGTTGTTGAAAATAGGTCCCTGGAATTGCCCTGGAAGTATTGAAAGTACAATTTATTTCACAACAAAGCGTTTAAACCACCTGTTTTATTAATTTTCCGCTGTGTAAATTACACTACCAAGCTGTGAATTACGCTACCTGTGAATCACACTACCCCTACTTTTTGCACTTCCAGTGTGACAAAACGAATGAAATTTTCTGACCTTTATAGATGACTAAAGTTGCCGTTAGAGAGAGAGTTACGAATCAAACAGACTTATAGTGTAGCCACAGTAAAACATTTTTCACTATTTGGTAGCGTTATTCACACGCGAAGAGGAAAAATTTGATCATAAGACACTCAAAAAGTAAAGAAATTTGGCCCTCAAAATTAGGCTGGCCTTCTATCTGAAGCCCACTAGGTTGATATACAGGATAAAATATTGAATTCTACGATTAATAAAGCTCCCTAAAATCTTTCGGAAAATAACTGGATATTCACACTAAAGATACACTAAATTTAAGCCAACTTTGACGCGCTACAGTTTTTAAACTAGGCTAGATATCAACAAACGGTTTTTTGCCCCTGAAAATATGGTCAAATATCTTAAAGATTTTCTATCTCTCCCAAACCACCTCCAAACTTTATTATTTTGTTACTGGTTACCGTTATCGTGGAATTGCCCAAATATATCTGAATAAATTAAAGTTTAATAACATCCCAGAAATGTACTTGTACACTAGGTAAGGACTGGACATAACGTTTATAAAATTAATTTACAATATAGTTTTTCTTTAAGTTTAAAAAATTACAGTTGTGGCTCCGTACTGATTTTTCAGTGAAAACGGTTTTCAAGTACACATGTCTGGAAGCAACCTTCACTTCACAACGAATAACTAAATATAATCAGCATTGTCAGTTTAACTAATTTTTTAAATTAGTCAATATTTTAATAATATCGTCATCAGTAAATACGGCAATGTATGTGAGTAAATTTATACAGGATAAGAATAGATACAAATCTTTGTACATACTGAATTATATAAAGCAAATTTATTTAACTCTGACGTCTGTGAAAATAAAAAAAACAATTTATGTCATAGCTGTGTGAATATTATGCCTGCTCATGAGTAATAGTCTAGTCTGATTGATATAAAATGAAATTCAATACTGTATTTCTAAAATGCGATAACGTCTAATATTAATCGTTATTTCCCAAATCTGTGATTAATTAATAAAATTAATCATTATTTAATCAAATTATCCGTATCTTTAATCTTCTCAATCTCACTCAAATGAGAGTTAATCCGGGCCAGCTGTTTCTGAAGTTCAGACAGGCCCGATGATACAGACTCAGACTTCAACTTGCCACACCTCTGGGAGCTGGAGGAACCCCCACTGCTCGCTGAACTCACGTCTCTACTGGCAAGTTTACTTTGATCCCAACTTCCTCCACTCAGTGATGTCCGTTTTACAACACCAGGAGTTAGCAGGTCACGTGGTATCACGTGATCAACAAGACCGGGAGGAAGTGTCTCGGAGACCAGAGAGCTGTTTTGAGAGAGGGTATGTTGGGAGAGGGAATCACTGGCTCTGGATACCCCGCCACTCTTATCGGAGCTTACTTGACTGGATGTTAGTAGAGATTGTATAATCTCCTCGAAGGAGGAGGATGATTTACCAGAGGAGGTGGACGGGGTAGAGGTGTATTTGGATTGTAGAGATAAGTTGTGGGGAGTTGTTTTTATGTAGGAGATAGGTGGAGGTTGGTTTACTTCTTCGATGTTTACAGAGGTATTTAATGGTTTTCCCAAGGCTTTCAACTCACTGTTTAGCTTCAGCTGATCTTTTATCAGGCTCGACAAATCCAATGCACGTTGTTCGATGACGTCCTTCATCTTGTCCTCATTACAGATTGTGGTATCGGAAGGACGTTTCAACGTTGAGGTGGACGCTTGGGAATTGGATGATGCTGAAAAGGATAAGGAATGATCAATGATTTGGATTGGCGACATCTTCCCTGTGTCAGCGAGTGGGGTTATCGGTCTAGGCTCTAAATCTATTGTATCTTCGCCAGTATCACAAGTCATGCTACCCTCTCGTTCCACCGTATAATGACTTAAACCTGTATCATGGGTAGAATCAGCCTCTATTTCCTCAGTTTTACGCATGATTCGCTCAGCTTCACACATAGTATCAGCCCTATCCGGACTCTGTTCAGAGCTCAGATCACTATGAAGCGGAAAGTAAAGGTTGAGACTAGGTCTACTGCCAGCTGCCAGATTGTCCTCAATAGCCGGGTCTTTATCAAGACTAGTATCTGACATAGAGGGAGACGAAACAGTTACTTGCGCGAGTGCTTCAGGTTTTGTATCTGCTACTTCCTCTTCTAGAACTGAACCTATCTCTGATTTCTCTTCAACAGTATCTAAGGTGTAATCAACATTCTCAAACTTAACGGAACTAGGCAACACCATATCCACCACCTGTGTGTGCCTGTCGAAGATGTCCTCAACTGCATGTTCTAAGTCGATTTGGTGCTGTTTCTGCGTACTTTCCCGCGCTAAATTACTTGCAAACACATTGGTACGCAGCGTGGACGGCTGTTTCCGTGTCCGGTTGTAAACTGCATATCTGTCTAGCTGTGACGTCACGTCCTCTAGAACGTTCTTTAGTTGCACCTTCTGTAGTGCAGCACTCCCTCTCACATCCGCTCGCTCCTCACGCGCCTGCTTTGACTGCTTCAACTAAAAGAAGGGAATCCTGTTAGATAGCAGAGATCATGTTAGATCATACTGTTATGTATATTGTATACTGAGGTGTACATGAGACTGAGAGACCTCATTTTTTCAGAGTAAAACAATACATACATTACATCGCATATATTATATTATATGAATAAATTCACCAAGGCTTCTAGACATATTTTAAAGTGCATAAACGGTTGCCAAAATGTATATTTAAATGAATTTTGTTAGGAACATAGTGTGAATATTTCCGTTTACAGGTTTACAAGATCGCACTGCGCATAATTATACTTATAATACTCACGAGCTGAATATGAAGCAATATTATTATTAATTGCATCGGAAATTATGAAAATTAATTCCTTTCTTAACATGCACGGTCGGCACACATCAGCAGTTTCGTGTAAATTACTAAGAGTGGAATTTGGTTGCGTGGAGATTCAGAGATTGGCTTGTCTGAGAGCAATAAGATAGCTGTGAGAAAACCTTTTGAAGAAAAACTGATGAAAGAAGTTTCCTTAAAACTTTTCTCATCGCTACAAAATTTATGCATCAGCTTATGCGTCAAGAACAGCTCTTTTTGAAGCAGTGCGTAAAGAAAATTTAATGGTTGCTTCATGATAGTCTATTAAGGGTATAATTCGTCAATAATGCCCAATGCCCTTATATATCAACATAGAGTGTTACACAACAGACAAAGTCATGATAATCTTATTGTGCAAGAGAGAATTAATTTTAGATTTCACGCAAATTTTAGAATTTCCAGGGCCCTGGAAATTCTAAACTTTGCGTGACTGTCGGAATTCCTGATGTTTTGGGCACAGTTACACTCTTGGTGTAACTGTCGGCATAAATAACGATAGAATTCCTAGTTGTTATAATTAGAAGCGAACATTTTTGGCAAGTGTAAAAATCGGGAACTAAAATTATATTGATTGATCGGCAAATTGAGTATGTGCCCAATAAATTAAACATCAGGAATTCCGACAGTCACGCAAAGTCAAAAGCCTATAATTCAAAATTCCGAACATTTCTATATAAAATAATGCAGTTTATGGAATCTATTATTTATGTATTCCAGGAATTTATGCTTATGCTATAATAATATCGCAATTATGATACTTAATAAGGAGATACTCGGATGAAGAAATATAAGAAAAGTCTAGCTACCTTAGATCGACATTCTTCCATCATCTTCTCCACCTCAGAAGCTAGAGTTTTGGCATCCTTAGCCTCCTTGACTGCCAAACTTCTTTCATGCACTACACCAATACCACTGACTGGCAGATGATAGTATGTTTTGGTGAAGGCATCCAGACCTTGCAGAGCTGGTTTTTTAGCAGCCTGGAGGCTGGGTACTTCTATAAGCGGCTGACTGTTCTGCAGCGGCATTTTCAGTAGCCTGTCAGAGGGTATTATCATTAACACCTTATTAGTTACAACCAGGTAACCAGGTAACCAGGTAACCAGGTAACCAGGTAACCAGGTAACCAGGTAACCAGGTAACCTGGTAACCAGGTAACCTGGTAACCAGGTAACTATATTTTCAGCAGCCTGTAAGAGCTAGAGGGTATTATCATTAACACCTTATTAGTTATAACTAATATTTAACTTGCCTGCACATAGCCAATTAAGGGGGCCGGGGGGGGGGGGTCTTTATCAAAATTCTCTCGAAATTGACTTTATAGTTGTTTCTAGTAGAAAGGGAGTGATATCTACCAGCTGCTTTTGGTCCCATGGAAAAATATTGTTCCTAGCCGAAATTATCGCCGGTCTAAGGTCAGCGCTGATGCGTAACTGTATTGCGCGAGCGATTTTCAATCGCAAATTCTGAAAATCGAGTCTAAAAATCTATCTTCTCCTACATTTTTTGAGCAATCACCCTGAAACTTTCAGGATATGTTCTAGGGACCATTTAGAAGAGATCGTTCAAGCCAAAATTTTAAGATAGGCCTTTAAAAAATTTGTATTCAATTTTGAAAATCTTGGACCTGAAAAAATCGTAAAAAAACGAGGTCCAAGATTTTCAAAATTGAATACAAATTTTTTAAAGGCCTATCTCAAAATTTCGGCTTGAACGATCTCTTTTAAATGGTCCCTAGAACATATCCTGAAAGTTTCAGGGTGATTGCTCAAAAAATGTAGGAGAAGATAGATTTTTAGACTCGATTTTCAGAATTTGCGATTGAAAATCGCTCGCGCAATACAATTACACATAAGCGCTGACCTTATATTAGACCGGCGATAATTTCGGCTAGGAACAATATTTTTCCATGGGACTAAAAGCAGCTGGTAGATATTACTCCTTTCTACCAGAAACAACTATAAAGTCAATTTCGAGAGAATTTTGATTATCAATTATCAGATTGTTCTCATGTGATGAACAATCTGATAATTGATAAGAAATATCAGGCTATATGGAAAGGAGGTTTGGAAATATTAGATCAACTTTTATTTCTACACATTAGTTGTGTCTAGAAATTTAAGTTATTACGGTTCTAAAATGGCCGAAATCTGGCTCACAGGACATGTGAATTACTAAAAACCCAAACTTATAAAAACTTACTGTTTAGTCCGGGTGTTTTCTTGGGCTCTAGTCTCCTTCTTTAGTTCTAGTAACTGTGTCTCTTCAGCCCGCTGTCGCTCCTTGACTTCGTTTAGCTGCTTCAATGCTGCTCTGTGTCTTTTTGCTGCTGCTGTTTTGTAGTCCTCCAGCAATTTTGCCCTCTTTGCATCCCTCTAAACAAGTCGGTAAAAGATTAGCAAACAATGAAAATGAAAATTTCGTTTTGAGTGTTTTAAAATAACAATAAAATTTCAACAATTTACAATTTTTAGCTCAAATATATTTGATAAATAAAATTAATTACTTACCTCCGCAGCATTTTCTTTATCAGCATCATCAAACGCTTCCCCCACAGATGCCATTGCAATATCAAGTTCTTCCTTGATGTCATCCCCTTTCTCTTTTAAATCTGATAACTTTGATTTTGTTGCCTGGATGATAAATACGATTACTTTCAAACTGAGATCAAATAAGACAATGATCATGATAGTCAAGTGACACATGTGATTTTATGATTTATTTTTTAAAAGAGGTAACTAGTATGCATCATTATTTGGGATTACAATATATAGTTTGCAGAGAAATAAAATATTTCCAACTACTTAACCCATCAAATCACATTTGAATAAAACATGCAGTGTGAAATTCTTACTTGTAGTTGAACGGAAATTTGTTTTTGTCTGTTCTTCTCTGATTGATTGTTAGTCTTGCGCCTACACCATTGGAGGGACTGCTTCCTGGCAGCAACTAATCTCTCTATCTTTAGCTTCTGGGTTGCTTCTTCTTTAAACCATGCTTCTTCATTTGGACTTGGGACTAATGAGCGAGGCATTTTGCTGATGGATGCAAATTTATCAATTAGAATTTAGGGCTGTTCAAAATTATTCCCACCATTATTCTAATCAATACTCCACTCAATGAAGACAACATGTTCAATACCTATACAGTATAGCACTATCTGGAGGGGGTTCTTTAAAACATGTAAGTGATACAAAATGTTTATATTATTACACCTGTGTAAATCGTCTTCAGCTGGGGTTGATGGGGTGAAGAGATCATTATATATTATGATGCTAGAGTGGTGTCAATGATTAATGGTGTGTAATTGTGACAGTGGAGTGAAGAAGGTGATAAATTTGTAATGATTATTGTTTATAGTAAAATATTGTTGAAACTTTCAAAAAAAAGGCATCTGATGTAGATGAGAAGGAAATGTGGGATGGCCTAGACTTTAAGGATGGAGCAATCTTAGGAAAGATGGGGTTCCAACGTGAGCTACATTTAGGGGCACGGTCAGTTCTATTAAAGGATGAGGGGACCTTAGAATTTACTTCCAAATATTCGTGTTTAAGTCCTGTGAAAGTGTGTAGAATCAAAAAATACGCCGACTGTGAAATCGATAATTTGTGCAATATCACGCCGCGCTCCTATTGGCTGATAGCAATTTTGGGCTGTGACGTCACTTATGTGTTAAGACCAACGTGCGCGCGCACCCTTTGCTTGTGTCAACATTTTGTTCTGTTCTGTTTTAATTACATCGTGTTACCTTTGGCGTTTGCGAGAGCGGTATCTTTGGTTGCACTGAATTAGTCTAAGTTACGAATAATTCTCTTTAATAATAATAGTTAAATGTAACTCAGAAAGGCTTTCTTGTAGTTGTAGTACCTTATTTCTATTTATAAATAGCTAAGATAAGTAGCATCCGATAACTAAACCACAAACTGCTATTTTGTTTTGACTTGTTTGAAACCCGATATGGACACAATTAAAAAGAATGTATGATGTAGTAGAAGACATTTTACTAGCTGGCCCTTGGCGCCTCTAGTCCTATCTGAGTACGCACGTGTGCGGTTTGACACTGCGCGTGTACCGGCCTTTAGTTGTACACTCATTTATAATTTACCGTTTTAGTTTGCTGTGACTTGAGAGTAAAGCGTAACGAATGTGGATGTGTTCGTCTGCTATGCTTGGTATAATATTGCTTGGTGTAATAGTTGCAAATCTTTCTTACGTTATAAGTAGTGTCACATAGTGAGTTAGAACTTAAAAGCTTGGTGCTTGGTGCTTGTCCAACTGGAATGCATTTCATACCTACCCGATCCATTTTTTCCATTTCACCCTTTTGTAAAAAGGCAATAGTGAAAGGTTACGAATGGAGGTTTTTGCAGAAAAACGTGGATTTTGGAGATTGCGGTAGGTGGGTCAAATATATGTCGTGTTCCTTGCTTACTTCCGTTCGTTACCAAGCAACGAAAAAGTTGCGCGCGCGCGAGGATTGCTTGCGGAGATGTGATGTATAGATAGCCTGTGATCTATGAATGCGCGGCGCGACTGTGTTTTAATGTATATGATGCATGTAATGTATAATATTAATATTAGGTAATAGCCCAATTTGTACGTGGCACGCGTAGTGTATTGATGTGTACACGAGTATAGTTTACCTTTGCTGATAATTTCTTGAATTACAGATACAAGTTAAGTTCTACGGCAATTGAACTGAATTTCAAGTGTTTCCCGTATTTGATGCATAATTTATCAATATTATTATCATGAAGATTGAAGTGAGCTGATTGGAGCTTATATTTAAATTTATAGTAAATGTGGAATGGAAATCTAGCGTCCGCCAAAACGAAAGAACGGGTGCAATTCTTGTTATTAGGACCGTGTTGTGTTGATATGACATGTTGATATATCAACTGTGGTACGAAACAGGGAGTTGCTAGGTGTTACGTTGGGAGCTATAAATATACATAATTTACATGCCTTTCTGTGTGACTTTAATCTTATTCCAGGTGTATCTTTGATTGATTGAAATAAATTTTCGTGCACATACAGAATGAATGGTTAATAATTTAATATATATGTAGACCAAGGTCTGTGCACGGGATGCTTCCTGGAAGAATCCAGTTCTTTTAGCGGGGCACCCTACCTAAAGCCAAATTGAGATATAATAATCATATTCCTAAGAAATAATCAGAAATCGAATACCAATCAAATAATATGATATATATGAGTAGTAACCATATTTACTATGCAAAATGCCCCAACCACATAGTGTAAATTTATATAGAATTCAAATTCCATATCATCATTAAACCTCAATACCTAGTCAATATAATAGCCCAAGCAAAATTAAATAACTTCTTATATACCTTACTGTCATACTACAAATTAATTAAACATTTGAAATCTGTTGACCAGAGAATAAATTTCTAAGCCTAATGCAAGTGAAATAATTTAGATGCAATAATGAATGCCTAATGTGAGTATCATTTGTCAATGTCCTTGTATCTCGGCTCATGGTTATCGTAGGGTGATAATTCTTTTTTCAACCGGTCATAAAAAGTCTCCTCTCCATTGGTTATAGGCTCGTATCGTAAATTGTTAATTTATTCTTAATTAGTAATTTAGTCGGCCCGCACGCTCATTTTACCTGTATTTCTGTATGCGCGGATCAGAGCAACTCACATAATTGACGTCACAGGTTCAAATTGTTTTGGCTGGATATCTCGGCGCGCGAATGAAATACAACTTTGCGGATTTCACTAAAGTGGTTTATACGATTAATGTAATAAAAGGATTTGCACGAGAAAAAAACTTTTTCTAAGGTCCCCTCATCCTTTAATGGAAGGTTGCTGTATCTGTAGGGTGGCAGGTTCTGTTATAAAATATGAGTTACAAGATGTTACAACCTATTGATTGATGTGAGAGATTTGAGGACTTCTATGCAGTGCCACAACGTTGCCTGTTGACGCCCTCCCGCCTAAAAAGCGCCCCCTGTTGGTGCCATCTTCCCTTTTGACGCCCCTCCCTAATTAGGAGATTTTAGAGGATACGCTGGTAAAATCTCTAAAAAAGTGTGTTTCTAGAGCAAACCGCACAGTTTAGGTCCAAAAATATACCCATTATGATAACTTAAAAACAACTCTAAATCAGTAGGCTGTCACTCTATTAATGCACCACACCACACTGCACTAAAAGTTATACAATAAATTCTACAATCCTAATTTTGTATCGTGATGGAGACCGGTGTCCATACAAAACATTTACTGGGTTGCCGTTTGGTGTGAGCAATAGCGAACAGCACACACTCCTTTGCCCACAATCCAAAGGATTTGGCGCCCCCCCCCCCCCCCCCCCCCTAAGATGGCGCCCCGGCCCCCTGTACAGCAGGGTCAGCAGGGCCCTTAATTACGCCACTGCTTCTAAGTTGTTTCAGGAAATGGAGTGTCAAGAAGTCAGGGCATCATTGACAGGGGTGGATTTGACCTTGTCTGTGGTTTTGTCAAAGGCATTGTTGACTCTGTAGCATCGTTTGTGTTCTTTCATGCAGTGAATTGAGAGTCTGTAGGTCTGGCCGGTATACTTGGAGGAGCATTGGGTTATGTCTTGGTGAGGAATTTGAAAAAGGATGGTAGCTGAGGAATGGGTAATTTTGATGCTGTGCCAAAGAAGGGTTTGGAGAAGGAGGGATGTAAGGGAAGGAAATTGTTGAGTATGTGCTCTCGGTCTGTTGGTTGAATGATTGGTGTCAAGGAACACAATTCAATAAAATTTCAAGAAGACAACAAATTTCAAGAAAACAAAAACTCGATCCGACATAAACTCGATCCGTGGCTGTATATATACGTGTCAGGATTAAATTGTAAAAAAAGTAAAATAAAATTTTTTTACACAATTTAATTCTGACACGTATATATACAGCCACGGATTGTTTTCTTGAAATTTGTTGTTTTCTTGAAATTTTAAAAGCCAAATACTTTCCCAAACGTCTAATTCTTCAATATATATTTAGCAACACTACAGTGGTTAGCTGCATTACCAATTAATTTAAGATCATTCCAGTGGCATAACGTTGCCAGTTGGCGCCCCCCCCCCCCCCCCCCCCCCCCCCCTGAACAAGGCGCCCCCCTGTTGGCGCCTCCTCCCTTTTAGGTGCCCCTCCCTTAAATTTAACAAATTAGGTGTTATTTCGGTTAAGTTATCTCAGTACATAAGTGAATCCAATCGAAATCTATCCCCTGCAATCAAAGTATTTCCATGCCTATTAAGCTATTACAGGAAATTAGGAACATCAGTGAAAAGGTGCACTGTCAATCATTATTGCTCCATACCTCCAGTCCTCCTGTTATGTGCAATTCTCACTGTATGCTCCTCATTTGTATCAATTATATTGATGCTACATTGTTATTGAATATGAAATAATTTTCAACCGTATTAATTTATTAACTTATTGTAAATAGCAAGTTTGACAAAGGGATTACGTTTATTTTACCCGGAGTTCGTTTAAGTTTAGTATTGTAAATAGTTAATTTGACGAAGGGAATACGTCTATTTTACCCTGAGTTATGTTTTAGTTCAATCTTGACACAATTTTAAAATTATAATTTAATTATTTTATATATATGTATTGTCCATAACTAGGGTGGCCTGCTAACAGAACCATGATCTGCCTTGATTCATCCTTCAGCACAGAGAAAAGCTCCTTTTTTTATACATTATGATTACAGAGGATCTGATATTTAGATATATATTGCTGTGCTGTAAAAATTGACTTTATTTATTTATTTTATTTATTTATTCAAACGACAATTTGGTGTCCCCCTAAGACGGCACAACCCCCCCCCCCCCCCCCCCCCGGCCCCCCCCCCCCCCCCCCTGCACAGCAGGGTCAGCGGGGCCCTTCGTTACGCCACTGGATCATCCGCAAATGATCCAATCTAACCTTAAAAAGCACTTGCTATCCCTCCAAAATCGAGATGACCCTAATACATGGTAACTACTTTATATTATATCTCAAATTCTAAATCCGGTACGGCTCTGCACACATGATATCTCTCT